AGGGGGGTTTTAGCCCACTCCAAATAATAGAGGAGGGGGTGTCAATTCCAGGAGAGAAAAAGCTGCTTTTGTAGTGAGCCAGCCACTCCCAGTCCCTATTCAAGCCCAGATTAATGGTGTTGAATTTGCATATGAATTTTAGTTCTGCTGTTTCTCTTTGAAGTCTGTTTCTGAAGTTTTTTTGTTCAATGATAGTGACTTTTAAATCTGTAATAGAATGACCAGGGAGATTGAAGTGTTCACTTACTGGCTTTTGTATGTTACCATTCCTGATGTCTGATTTGTGTCCATTTATTCTTTTGCGGAGGGACTGTCCGGTTTGGCCAATGTACATGGCAGAGGGGCATTGCTGGCACATGATGGCATATATGACATTAGTGGATGTGCAGGTGAATGAGCCCCTGATGGTGTGGCTGATGTGGTTGGGTCCTCTGATGCTGTTGCCAGAGTAGATATGGGGACAGAGTAGGCAACGAGGTTTGCTACAGGGATAGGTTCCTGGGTTGGTGTTTCTGTGGTGTGGTCATTGTCATTGATTCACATAATCAGGGAAACAACACTTTATTCTTCCTGCCCCAATAACAGAGAAACTGGGGATCCCACAGCAGCCAAAGTGACCATTTTGGGCTGCAGTGGGCTCATGCTAGGCAGGGTGGGTGTGCCTATGCAAACAAGATCAGCCCCTGAAGTTCTTTTCCACAACTCGCCACAATTCACCACCAGATGTCAGGATCGAGCTCATCCTGACTCTGCTTACACCAGCAGAACTGGGACCTCAGTCTTGCAACTCAGACTTCCCCTGATGAAGTCTAAGCAGATCTGACATGACAAAATCAGGACCCAAGGATTTTTTCTACAATTTCATGTCTTTTGACAAGTTGGACTTCCTCAGGGAACAAAAGGTCATTAGGATGACTTTGAAGGAAGTCCATCACCGGTACTTAGCTATACTAATTAACATAAGGCCATTTGCTTGTTCCTCCACCCTTCACAGTACATTTCAAAGAGAGATGAATACTGAGATATCCCATGTTTACAATTAATTTACATCAGGGATCGGCAACCTTTGGCACGTGGCTCGCCAGGGTAAGCACCCTGGCGGGCCGGGCCGGTTTGTTTACCTGCCACGTCCGCAGGTTCGGCCGATGGCGGCTCCCACTAACAGCGGTTCAACGCTCCAGGACAGTGGGGGGCTGCGGGAGGCGGTGCGGGCCAAGGGACGTCCTGGCCGCCACTTCCCGCCGCCCTCATTGGACATGGATACTCAGACTGGACTAAGGGGATTAGCAGGGCCTCTGGAGACCGGAGCCCAAAGGATCATTTCACCCACTGTTCCTGACCTGCACTTGGCAGGGTACATGAGGGGGACCCCATTAGCTATTGACCAGAGCTGGGTGTCACAATGTCAGAGCCTCTTCGGAGGGAGCCACATTTCTGTAACATTAGGACCCCATGTGGCAGGCTGTCACCTGACACATCTAGCCTGGCCACATCTCCCCAATGGGGGGCTGGGCCAATCTTGCCCCCCGCAAACACACTTCTCCAGTCCCGCCCATGCCACTGAAACTGCCTTGGAAATCCTGGCCCTAGTAACCCTGGCTAACGGAGCATTTTCCCTAGAATAATTTCAGACCCTTCAAAAATTGTATCGTGAACCTTTGAGTCCTTCCCGGACCACAAGACACAGATATCTGTAGCCAGTCACAACATTTTCTCCTCCAAAAACGGCATGTTGAAAATTTTTCTCTACCCGTCCCCCAATAGTGCCCCCTGCCTCCACTCCCATCCCCCAACCCCTTTCCTTCCACCTCAGACCAATCCCTGTAGCTCCCCACTCCCCATGCTCATTCCCCCCTCAATCCCTACTTCTTCCTACACCTCTGCTCCACTCCTGCCCCCCTACTCAGCCTCCTCCCCTCTCCTCCCAGTAGGCTCCATTCCTGGTCCCCCCCCGTCTCATCCTCCAGTCCTTTGTCCACCTCTCCCCAGTCCTTCCGTTCCTGGTTCACTCCCATCCCGGCATCCCACTCCCCACTCAGCACCCTGCCTTCCCCCATCTCCCCCTCTTCACACTCATCACAGCACATACACCCCTCCCTCATGTGTACCACCTCCAGGGCCCGCTCCCTCTCCTGTCTCCCACGACAACAGGTCGCCTGGCATAGCCACATGCCCCCATAGCCTAGGCAAACCAGGATGCTGATGCAGGCTGTGAAAGCCAACATAACCAGCGCCATGTGCTTGTCGGGCTGGCCCCACACGACGCACTCAAGGGCAGGGGGACAGGCCGGGGTGCTGGGGAAGCCGCGGAAGAAAACTCCTGACACCATGGGCAACTGCCGGGCCAGCACGGCCCACAGGAAGCCAATCTCGGTAGCCAGCAGCACAGTGATGTACACAGTGAAGACTCCAGCATGCCAGAGTGGCCGGGCGGCCATATCGGTTCCTGCCGGCGAACTGGTCACACCACTGATGCCAATCGTGTTGGATCTGGCAGCTACATTGGTTGCGCCAACCAGCTTGGCGTTGGCAGCCATGTTGGAATCTCCCACTGGCCGGACCATGGCAGCCATGTTGGATTTAGTGGCCATGTCAGGTTCCCCCACCAGCTCGGCTCTCGTAGCCACATGCGATTCTACCACCAACCTGTGCTTGGTGGCTTTGCTGCATGTGGCCGACGCCGCGACCTCCTGCCCCCCATTTCCCTGATAATCCTCTTTGGGGTACAGCATTCTGATGATTGTGATGCGGAGCAGGGCGATGAGGAAGGAGAAGCTCCAGGTGGTCCTTACATGGTCCAGAAAGGGGCGGTTCTAGCAGACCAAGGTGCAGAAGGTCGGGGCTCCAGGCACATGCCATATCCTGGTGTGCACTCTCCGACGGCGAACTGGCCTTGACACAGCTCAGCCCCCGACAGCACTGAAAGCACGGGTTGCAGCAGGCTCACCAGTGTCGAGATGATGTCCAACATCTGCCGGGAGACAGGCGTGGAGTGACACGGGGGACAAGGAGGGGACGACAACACAACCCACATGCCCCCTGTGGCAGAGGTAGCTAGCGAGCTTTCATTCCTTTGGGTTCTTTCTGTCTGTCCCAGGGCTGGGCGACACTGAGAACTGACACCAGCATAGCCGCACACCCCTGAGTGACGTAGTTAACCTGACCTAACCTCTGGTGTAAACAGCGCTAGGTCAATGGCAGAATTGTTCCGTCAACTGAGATACTTCCTGTCGGGGCGGTGGATTAATTACGATGACAGGAGAACCCCTCCCGTAGGCGTCAGTCATGTCAACACGGAGGAGCTACAGCTATGACACTCCCGCGTTTCAAGACAAGCCCTTAGATTCCTAGATACTAAGTTCAGAGGGGACCATTGGGGTCATCTAGTCTGACTTCTGTATGGCATAGGCCAGAGTCCAGCTGTGAATTAATTCCCATTTAAACTTCCTTTCTCTCCTTCTCCCTCCCTTCTTCTCTTCATTTTGCCTTCATCCCCATTCTTCCCATTATTGTAATAATTATTTATTATAGATATTTTTGGCTACACCTACAGACCTGGACCAAGTTCAGGGCCCCGATGGCTCCAGGTGCTGCACCGATTTTCTCTACCAAGTCCGAGGTCTGGCCCAGCACTCTGCTTAGCACTGCACAGATGCCCCTCCACCCCCTCAGGCCAAGATCAGGGTCCTCATCTCCCTGGGCACTGCGCAGACACACAGTGAGAGGCAGTCCCTGCCCCAAAGAACCCCCAGTCTTTTTTTCTCATTCCCTCGTTCTCACTGTCTCAGCTCAGCCCAGCTTCCAGTAGATTCCCATCCCCCTTCACGCACACCCCATTTCCCTGATACCTTTGGGTGAGATTCTCTCCTCTCTCACTCTCTGTCACTCTTTTCTCTCCTTCGTCCTGGGATCCTCTCTCTCGCCGGGCTATGGGATCCAAACTCCAGGGTGAGGGGAGCTCTAATTCTACCCGCAGGACCAGCGTACATTGAGTCAAACAGCTAGAGAAGGGGAAGCCACAGACCCAGAGATATGCCAGAGCTATCGTCAAACAATTAACATTTTCCCACCTACCTGGGTCCCCGCCCTTTCCTAGATCAACTGGCAAAGGGATTATCTGCTCCATCTATTCTGGCAGGGATCACTGCTGGGATAGAGCCCAGGAGTCCTGCCCAAACTCCCATGGTGGAAGTAGAAGCCAGAAGTCCAGAATCTCAGCCAACCCTGCTCCGATCCACCAGACCCCACTCCCCTTCCACAACCAGGGATAGCACCCAGGAGTTCTGGCTCCCAGTCCCCCTGTTGTAACCCACTAGGCCCCACTCCCCTCCCAGAGCTGGGGATAGAAAATTTTAAGTGTAATTATGAATAAATAAAAAAAACAATACCTATGTTTGTATTGACAGAGCAAAGTGAGGCTGTACACTCAATTCAATGGCATCCCTCTGCCCCAACCCAGGGGTGGCCACATCTCAATGCCAGGAATGGGGTACCTGTATAAACAGCCCTTACGCTCCACCCCAAAGATGGCTGAATGCCAGACCTGACTTATGCTGGCTTTGCACCTTGAACCAAAGCAGACAGCACCGTGGCTTCGAACCACTTGATATGCTTTCCATTCTCCCACAGCTTCACCCCATCTTGCTCAG